CCGGCAGTGCATCTGCCACCGTGTCTGTCTCAATAGAGGGCAGAGCCACGGCCTCGGGGTAATGGCAGCCAAATCTGACACCACCAAGATCGACGTATTTCTTCCCCATCGAGGTCGCCCTGCTGATCTTCTGGAGAGGCTCCTCTATGATGGGCAGGTGCCTCAAGGCAGCTTTCCCCCAGTCTCAGGCTTTCCCTGCCCTCTGGCAGGAGTCGCAGGCTCCGAGTGGTGACCAGAGCACTGTGGGGTCCTTCTGGCCACTCCTCTAGGTCACCCCCATCAGCACCTCTGTAGGCAAGTGCCGGTGCACCCCCACTTCCTTGGGGCCCTCCTCAGATCCCCATTTCAGATGCACCTGGGCTACAGGTACCTTGAATGAGGTCCCATCTATGCCTCTCAGGGTCAGCTGGGTGTTGGGCACTATGCAGTCTGAGGCTATTATACTGGGCTGGGCCAACATCACCTCCACCCCTGTGTCCCAGTAGCCCATCACCTCCCTACCATCCATCTCCAAGGTATGAGGCACGAGGCACTCGCTCCACAGGGGCCACCCTGCCCCCACCCGGTATGCGGAGAAACCTGCCTCTGGAGTGTCACATCTCCCGGAGAAGCTGGCCTGGATGGCTTCCCATCCGTGAGCTGAGGGTGGCCTGCCAGCCCCTGCCCTGGGGCAATCTGCTCCTCCTTCAGCCCCACCCAGTTAACCCTGGGAAGTCTCTGGTTGTGGGGCCTATCCTGATGCCTGGGGTACTAAGCCCATTTGTGGCCCCTTTGCCCACAGAGATGGCAGGTCAGGCCCACTGGGTCTCCTTGGCTGGCTGCTCCATCCGGGTACTGGCTGGCCCTCTGGGGGGAGAACTGCTGGCCCATGTTTCCTGGGCTCCCCCCATTAGGCATTTCCCCTAGTTGCACAGCCAAGAACTGGTCTCTCTGGGATTCCTTTTCTCTCCAAGATTCCCTCTTACACCCGGACTGGCCGTCCTTGAACTCATCAGCCAGCTTCCCCACACTGTGGGGTCCTCTGGCTTCTGGTCCTTGAGCCACCGCCTCAGGTCAGACGAGCACATTTCATAGAACCATTCCAGGACTTAACCAGATCCTCTATGGCCTGGGCCCCAGCCCACTCACTTGAGGTAGTATTGCATCAGGAGGGAGACCAGGTCTCCTCTGGCCCCTTCTGCATCCCCTGGAACTTCTTTCTGTACATCTCAGGGGTCAGCCCGAACTTCTACAGCATGGATTTTTGACACATTTGTAGTCCCCCCGCTGCAGCCTCTCCAGCTAGCTAAGCACCCCCGCAGCCTTCTGATCCAGCAAGGGGGGAGGGGACCTTGCCTGAGACGAATGGCTGCTGGTGGAGTGTGGCCTGGTGGGCACTGAGTCTGTCTGGCAGACTCCAGCCCTCACTCCGGTTTGAGAGTCTATAACGCTCTCAAGGGGTGTATGGCTGCTCATCACTGGAACAGAATCCAGGCCCCTGAAATGGTCATTCTCTTCCAGCTGGGCAATCAGCTGGACCTTGTTTGCTTTCTCCATGGTCAGGTCCCTCTCCTTGCACCACCCTGCAATGTCTGCCTTCAGGAGTCAGGTGTAGTCCATCTCGCCACCGTTCCCTAGGGTTCAGACTCACTGGCTGATGCTGCAGTGTCCCACGACTCCCAGGAATCACTTAGCTCTGTCTCCAGCACGCCTGGCTCTTGTAAATCCCCTTCTTTTGAGATCGAGCTGTGACTAAAGGAAACTGCTATGGCCCCCTCAAAGTTATCCGGCAGCCAAACAAGTTAGAGCCTGCTCCAGCAGGATTATAACATGGAAGTGATCCATGTCAAGGGGAACGCCAATGTCACAGCTGATGTGTTATCATGGAGAGGCATAAGGATGTTTTGGAAAAAGGGGGTTTTGTGCAAAACTGCCACAGACATACTGCCTGTTTTTTCACAAAAACAGAATGAAAGTCTATGCAAATGAAATGCAAGAAAATGCTAATCTGCACTTCATTTGCATTGCCTCTTGTGGAAAAATTCATAGTCTATATCTACACTGGTGCAATCTTGCACCAGAAATATGCAAATGAGGCTGTGTGGACTATCGCAGAGCCTCATTTGCATATCTAATGAGCCACCATTTTGCGGAAGAGGCTCTTGCTCAAGAAGGAGCATCTACACTGCTCCTTCTTGCACAAGAAAAACCCTATAGCGCAATGCCATTATTCCTGAAAATAATCAGCATAAATGGCATTGCACAAGAGGGTTTTTCTTGCGCAAGAAGGGGCAGTGTAGACAGCTCCTTCAGGCGCAAGAGCCTCGTCCTCAAAAATGGCGGCTCATTAGATATGCAAATGAGGCTCAGCGATATTCCATGCTTAGCCTCATTTGCATAGGTCTGGCACAAGATCGCGCCAATGTAGACATAGACATAGTGTAGCTGTAGCCTGACTTTGTAGCCCTCGCTCAGGTGAATTGTCCTGTTTATATCTGTTGACTTTAAGTATTGAATTCAAACATTGCCACTGACTTGTTTTATGGCCTTAGAGAAATTGCTTAACTTTCCCCACCTCAATAAGAAGGCAATAACATTTATCCTACTTCACATGGCTGTTGACTACGTCAATTAAATTTAGTGCATATAGATGAATGCCTCATATCATTATCCTGAGTAACACCGCTAAGGATATTACTTTAAGTACTCTCCTTTCTTCAGTAGAGCACTTGTCTGCCTTTCTTTGTATTTAATGCTACTTCTGGTGGGAATGTGATGGCAAAGATGCACACTGCATTTTCACTAGTAGGCAGCAGTGGTTGTGTTTATGAGGTAACATGGGCATGACTTTCACCATTTCATGGACTGATAGAGGGCAAATTATCATTGAAATGCATGCCAATTAAAAAAAACCAACAATGAAACATGCCTACAATTTCTGCATGAACACTAGTGCTGAAAGTGTATTTCAGGTAAATCCTGTGAATTTTAGCCATGTGAAAGATGTCAATTTGTCAATGAGCAAAGGTAAGGTAAGTGACATATAGCTGAAGGTATGTGATTTTGCCAGAACACAGTGAAGGATATATGGCTCATGGCTCTGTTCTGTGTGGTATCTGGAAGATGTGTAAAACCTTGATTTAAATTAATCTAGATTTTGCCAAAAAGAGACACCAGTTTCTAAATGCAAGTGAAATCCAATCTCTGCAGATTCTTAGACAAAATCCATGGCTATGTCTACACTGGCGCGAACTTGCGCCAGAGCTATGCAAATGAGGCTAAGTATGGAATATTGCTGAGCCTCATTTGCATATCTAATGAGCCACCATTTTTGTGGAAGAGGCTCTTGTGCCTGAAGGAGCTGTCTACACTGCCCCTTCTTGCGCAAGAAAAACCCTCTTGTGCAATGCTGTTATTCCTGAAAATAATCAGCGTAAACGGCACTGCGCAAGAGGGTTTTTGTTGCGCAAGGAGCAGTGTAGACAGTTCCTTCTTGCGCAAGAGCCTCTTCCGCAAAATGGCGGCTCATTAGATATGCAAATGAGGCTCGGCAATATTCCACGCTTAGCCTCATTTGTTTGGCCTTGTAATTGTCAAGATGTTAAGATTGAGGGGAACATTCCTGACATTTTCCCATATTTTTTCAGATGTTTTCTTCCCAACCACCTCACCTTGGATGGCTGCTTTCCTGGTCATTTTATTTCTTAGTATAGCCACGATTGCTGCTGTGGGGTATAAATTGAAAAGTGAGTATTTCTTTGTATGTTATGTCAATAAATAAGATAAAAGACTTCCTTATTTGTATCAGCTGTTTTGAGAACAAAACAATAACTAAAATGAGTTTTTGAGGGGTAGATTGAGGATATGAAATATCAGAGTCAGAAAACTATCATTCTTACCAGATACACCCCTTGCTGTGACAAATTTTTTTAAATTCCTCACATAAATTTATTCAAGACCAGAATAATACCCAATCAGAGGTTCAGGATTATAGACCGAGCATTCAGATCAGTGGCTTTCCATCAAAACTATTGTAGGATGCTATGAAAAGTGTCTTGTATTAAAAAACAATTTGATTTTTTTTTCAGAAAATAATGATACAAAATCTAACTCCGGTAAGTATTTGGGATAATGAATGCAAATTAATATGAACATATTTTGTGCCTTGATTTTGACACAGTCTCAGGAAGTTTGTGGAATTGGTACTGGATGACCTCAAGCTCCCTTCTAGCCCCTACGTTTCTATCATTCCAAAAGAAAATGTTAACATGGCAGTTGCTGTTCTGACCTGAGAAGCTGCTGATAAAGTACAAGAGAAGTGTGGGTGAATTCTGTCTTAATTATGGTCAACAGCTGTGTACATTGGCAGTTTGCAGTTAATGTGAGTCAGGGATTTGTATCTAGGCTTTGAGCAACAGTGACTATTGCCACTGCTGGCTCATCAAGAAAGTTTGTTTCCTCCTATTGTAAACAGACCTTATCATTATATGCACACAACCCTTCTGCCAGTCATTTTTATATGAGCATTCTATGGCATTGTTCCAGAATCATTAATAGCTGCCGTAGCTGCCGAATGGAGTTGCTCATGTGAATGCGGAAATAACTACTGTTCCGTATATATGACTGCCTCCATGGTCCACGAGGTTCATTCAGGACTAGGGCAATCTGGGACTTTGTCAATAAGCTGTGAGAGAATCTAGCTCCTTTGTTCACTCATTCCCCTTGTGGGTATTCATGGGGTCTCCTGGAAATTTCAGCATCCCATAATAATTATTTGGTTAAAAAAAATTCATAATCAATTATGGTTTCACTTAACTCTTTTTCAGTAGACTGTGGGTTTCATGCTTGGTCCTATTTATTATCCTTCATGTACATTTAATTGTTCTGCACTGCCCCTCTTTTCCCAGGCTAATCACCCCACCTATTAATATCTGGTGATGAGGGTTGGGTGAAAGTACTCCAGCAAAGGGCCTCCACAAGTATCTTGACATTCTCAACACAGAGGATGGGCCATCCATTCCATTATGTGGTCCAGATTCTCCGCATAATCAGAGACTTGGCAGATACTGTCTCCCATTGAAATGAAGGGGGAGATAATCTGCAAGTGAAAACAGCCATTTCCTGTTCCTGTATATGGAGAGATCTGACAGTATTTTAAAGCTGCTTTCTTGCTGAAATAAGGATTTGGGATGTTTATGAGTCATTCACATTGCTATGCGATTCCTTGTGTTTGCAGTGAATGAAAAGAAAAAAATGGAAGAAGGTAAGTATATTTTTGATGTGATAAAAGAAAAGTGTAAGGAATATTTCTCTGAGTCCAATTCATGGAGACAGTATTACATAGCATGCTGAAATTTTTCAAGACATAGATCACAGAGGTGTCAGTCTTTACCTAGGAAAAGGAATAACTGACGACTGGGACCTTTGTTAATATAAGAATCTATGCATCGATTTTTCATTAAGAAATTATACAAAGCCTAGTTATGTCTAAAGACATGCTTAGTTTGTCAAAATAAGGTTTAAGTGAGAATTAGGCTATTTACAGTTTAAATCCATATAATATATGTTATCAAAGCTGTTCCCTACTCTGGCATGACAAATGCAGAAGTTGGGGGCCTGCAAGGACACTCCAAAACCTTGCCTCCAGAGATTCTGGTACAAAAACTGCCACCCCCTCTGAAATCCAAATACCTAGGTTTTGCGAGACCTGCTGCAACCAAGTAATTCCAAGAAAACCAGGGAAGAGATCAGTTGGGAAATCCCTTCCCTAAGGTAAAACTCTCCCCCCTGACCTAATCTCCATTTTGCTTGGAGTTTGGAAAAACAGAGGGAATCAACAGACAACAATGGACTCTGCCCTTGTAAGTAGGCACTGAGACCTAAGGACACAACAATTAACCAATATCAGTTAATTAGGAAAAACACAATATTTTATTATTAAAACAAAGACTACAGTTGCAAGCGTAGTAAATTGGCTAGATGGAAAGAGCCATCAGTTGATACAGATACTCAGGGAAAAAACCCTGAGTAGCAAGACTTAGTTACAATAAAATAATTAGCAAGATCAGACATTATTTCCAAATCCCCAGACAAGGAAAACAATAAACCCTTTGGAAAACAATAAACTTTTCCCTACTTAAGCATTTCAAGAAGTTTGTTCCTGGAGAGAGAAGCATCTCCCATCTCCCTCAATACCTGGGAGAAACCGCTCTGATCTCAAACAAAGAAAAGAGAGAGACTCCCTCCCCACTCTTTTTCAGTTTGAAATTCCTACTTGCATTGCCAGCACTCCTGTTTATGATATATGTCACTCACAAATGTGAATATGCCACCCCCTCCTGAGCAAAGTAACTTACACCAACTTAAGTACCAATGCAGATATTGCTATGTCAGAGAAAAGCTTGTGCTGACTGTATCCGTGTATGACCCGGTCCGTTTATTAACTCCTTTTTAGGATAACCCCTAAAGTCCCTTCACCTCACTCCAAGTCTGTGTGCTTCGAGTCTTTTTTGCCAGATTTTACCCCAGTCAGTAGTACCGGCTCTCGTCACTGCCGGACACAACAATTCACGAGCCAGTCACCAAGATACCTCCTCTGGTGACAGTGGGGAGAGGGAGGCCCGCCCCCACCCTCACTCATGGGCCCCAGCCCAGGGCTCTAAGGACAAGGACTGGGTCGTAGTCCTGTCTGACTGGTGGCGCTTCCTGCTGCAATGTGCCAGCCCTCGGGCTAATACCTGTTGCCCTGCCCTGGGCTACTTCCTCTCCCAGATCTTTTCTTGGGTGTCCGCTATCATCCATGCTCTGTCCCTCTGCCCTGTGCGATGGCTCAGCTCGCCTTTTCTTTTTGCTTCTTCTCCTCCCAAGCTATCATCCACCACGTTTTAAATCACCCGCCGTCCCTCGTCACTCTTGCGGATGTCAGCATGTCTTGGCTGCGCGCCCCTCCCACCTTCCTTGTGTTCCTCCGTCCCCAGCATCCATTTACGACATCTCCCAGCACCCTTCTCCCCTTCCTTGCCACTTGCGCAAAGCGGCGTCTTGCTGCAGTGTGCTTACTTGGTGGCACACGAGCAGCCAGCACAGCTCTGGTACCCAGCCCCCTGCACAGCAAACATCTAGTGGCAGGGGAGTCTGGAGTGTGGGACGGCAATGCCCCATCACACTGACAAAGGTATGGCCTTGTTGTATGTTGTTTCTCATCATCCTAGAACAGCTACATTGAAGAGCTTCCAGTGGTGTTACCCAGTATTCCCTTTGAGCTGCTGTCAGGCAGCTTAGAGGGAATGCTGGTGCCAGCATAAGCCCTGTGCCTCAGTTTACATCTCTCTTAGTCCGAGGTCTTAAACAGTAATTAAGATGTTGGCTCTGCATCAGGAGAAATTTTGCAGTAAGTGAGCTTTGCTAACAGGTATGCCAACCTTTCTGCATAGGCAACATAGAAGAAACAATAATTAGAAAGCAACAAGGAGTCCTGTAGCACCTTATAGACTAACAGATGAATTGAAGCATAAGCTTTCCTGTGCAAAGACCCACTTCGCCAGATGCATGCAGATGTTGCTTTTACAGATCCAGACTAACACGGCTACCCCTCTAATAATTAGAAAGCCAATAACTGGATAATTGTGACTAAACCTAGATCTGTGGCTGTCCCATCTTTCAGAAGGTGAGAAAATTTAAAATTAAAATTAAAATTTCAGTCCCCCAGTACTCTCAAAAGACACTTTATAACTACAGGAACATTAATTAGATCAGTGATGCATTTATGAAAAAATCTTAGGCTTAAATCCACCATAATACTTAAGCATTTGCTCACTTTTAAATACATAAGGGCTGAGTCTACATTGGCACCCTTTTCCGGGAAAAGGATGCTAATGAGACAAGACGGAATTGCAAATCCGCGGGGGATTTAAATATCCCCCGCGGCATTTGCATGAACATGGCTGCCGCTTTTTTCCGGCTCGGGGTTTTACCGGAGAAAAGTGCCAGTCTTAGATCTTCCGGAAAATAAGCCCTTTTCCGGAAGATCCCTTATTCCTACTTTCAAGTAGGAATAAG